CAAAGATATTCTATGTTAATGGATTGGAATAATTCATGTTGTAAAATGTCTGCACTACTCAAAACAATCTACAGATTGAATCCAACCCCTATCACAATTCCAATGCATTTTTCACATAAATAGACCAAACAATCCTAAAATCTGTATAGAACCAAAAACCTTGAATAGTCGAAGCATCTTGAGAAAGAAAAGCAAAGTTGGCAGTATCATGCTCCCTGATGTCAAATTATTTTACAAAGCTATAACAATCAAGACAGTATGGCATCAGTGTTGAAACAGACATATAGACCAGTAGAACAGAATGAAGAGCTCAGAAATAAACTCATACCTTTATGATCAATTAATTCATGACAAAGGAGCCAAGAATATGGAGAAATGACAGTCACTTCAATAAATGGTGTTGGGAAAACTGACAGACACATGCAAAAGAATGATACTGGACTATTATCTTATACCATAAACAAAAATTAACTCAAAATGGATTAAAGACTTGAATGTAAGACCTGAAATAAAACTCCTAGAAGAAGGCATAGGCAGTTAGCTCCTTGACATCAATCTCGGTGATGATGTTTTGGATATGACTCTAAAAGCAAAGGCAATAAAACCAAATATAAACAAGTGGGACTAAATTAAAGATCTTCTGCACAGCAAAGGAAAATATCACCGAAATGAAAAGGCAGCCTACTGAGAGAAAATACTCACAAATTATATTGATACCAGGTTAATATTCAAAATATATAAAGAATTCATACAACTCAATAGCAAAAGCAATTTAATTAAATAATGGGCAGAAGGTTGAATAGATATTTTTCCAAAGAGGACATACAAAATGGCCAACAGACATATGAAAACATGCTCAACATCAGTCATCATCAGGGAAATGTAAATCAAAAACCACAGTGAGATATCACCTCATACCTGTTAAGAGTGGCTATTATCAAAAAGACAAGAAATAAGTGTTGGCAAAAATGTAGAGAAAAAGGGACGCTTGTGCACTGTTAGTGGGAATATAAAATGGTGCAACCATTATGGAAAACAGTATGAGGTTTCCTGAAAAAATAAAAAAAATGGGACTACTGTACGATCCAGCAATTCCACCTCTGGGTATTTATCTGAAGGAAGCAAAAACACTTACTGAAAAACATATGCACCCTCATGTTCATAGCAGCATTATTTAAAATAGCCAACATAAACACACACACACACACACACACACACACACACACACACACACACACACACACACACACAATGGAATCCTATTCAGCCATAAAAAAGATTGGGACCTTTCCATCTGCAACAACATGGATGAACCTCGAGAGCTGTGCTAAATGAAATAAGTTAGATAGAAAAATACAAATACCATACGATCTCACTTATATGTGGACTCTTAAAAAAAAAAAGCTGGCATTGGGGAATGACATTGTTGAGTGGAGTGGGTCATATAGTATAAACTCCCGGTTTTAAGTAAAAAAATATCATGAGTATGTAATGTACTGCATGGTGACTATAGTTAATAATACTGCACTGCATATATGTAAGTTGCTAAGAC